CGGGCAGAATTCAAAATTTCCTTCCAACTGAAAATGTTTGGTGTGTCCTGCGGGCTTATATGACCTTAATATTGTGCATTTGCGAGCATTGTAAAACCAGAGACCTAGCAATGTAAACGAGACAGTACAGCTTGTGCCAGACTGAAAATCTGACCAATCCCTTGACAACAGGAAGTGGGGCGGTGAACTCAAACAAACACGGCTGATCCTAAGTACACACACTGTAAGTGGTGTGCCGCAATAAACTGCACTAATTTAGAAAAACAGAGGACTTGCATTAATACTATTTATCGGCAAATGTGCCCCCCCGCCCCTCTTTTTTTTTTTTTTTTTTTGGGGGGGGGGACTTCCGTAACGAGCGACCTCTATGAGACAGAGTAGAATAGAGGGCTAGGGGTAGAGGTAGATCGAGGGATAGGGGTAGGGGTAGGGTTAGTGTTTGGGTTAGTGTTTAGGTTAGTGTTAGGGTTAGATCTAGGTCTCTTCTTTATTGTGTTTGTTGGGGTGGTCGCACGTTACGAAAGTCCTTCCTCCTTTTTATAATTATATCTGGTAAATGTACCACCCCCCCCCCCCTTTTTTTTAAATTACCACCCCACCCCCCTTTTATTTGAAACATCAGGGTACACCAACAACTCGGTTTCGTTCATTCACAATAGAACAATAACAGGCCTAACGCGAGTATATTTACCGCCCCAGGCTATAAATAGAACAGCGCATTTCTCTTACACTGCATGTAGCACTGGTTGTCACGGACAGCGCCGCAAGCTGTACAGTCTCGTTTTGCTTTGCTAGGTCTCTGGTAAAACACTTACAAAATATTTTTTTTTAGACCACAACCAAAAACATGCCATTGTTTGTCGCCACTGCGCAGAGCCCTATTCTTTTAGTTAGTAAGAGTTTTGTCTGGCTGCGAGTTTTCCATTCATTCAGTCAGACACTCAGGAATACACTTAACATGGAACCAGGGGATTCAGCTTCCACATGGGGGCTGCCATCTTTATTTTCTGACCTTGCCCGGTCTTTTCCCAAGCCTTAAGGCCAAACATGAAATGCCAAATAGGACGTAATACCTCCAGTATCATTACAGTAAGGGTTTTGGTGTCTTGCTCAAGGACGTACCTCAATGACCACCTGTGTAAACTCCGTGTCACCGACACTTTCTTGTCATTACTGTTGAGTTTGAACTAACTACTCACCTCCCCACTGGAGCCTTGCAAACGTGCTTATTGTATTTCTTATTTTCAATGCCCAGAAACCACCGACAAAACAGTTGACCCTATTATTTTGTGCCAATACGCGGTGGAATCAGGCGCTCGTCAATTTTTGGACATGTGAAGTTATTGGTTTCATCTGAAAGCTTATTCATTTCCCTTGCTGTCAATGAAAAGAGTACCCATCTGTCTTGAATAGAAATCAAGATGCTTGCTATTGAAGAAGTTGGGGTTTCCTGGTTTCAGTGGTACAATTCGCAAGAAAATAGCCGCCAGAGTTTGGCAACTCCAATAGCTTGAAAATCCTTGAAAACATAAAAATGACATATTTTGTGGCTTTAATATACGTTTTTCCAGTAAAATGCATATGGAAATAATGATGTTTCTATAAGGATATACAGGGTGTTGAGTAAAAATAACAATTGATGAAAATTGCCAAACTGGCTGAAAAATGCCTGTTTCTTCCATTTCATTATTTTGATGAGCGCCTGATTTCACCACGATGCTTCACATTTAGTATGTCGGAAAACGATAGAGCTACGTGGTAATTAATCACCTTGACGAGGCTTCCACGGAAATTAGTCGCAACCCAAGAATTCCAACGTTTTATCTGCTCACTGGCTAGTATAGAGAACTTTTACGTAAAGAATGTTGAGTTTCACATGTCATTTCCCTCTTGGCTCAGTCCTTGAGGAGATAGACGTTAAACTAGGAGATCCTGCCTATAAAGTAACCTAACTCTGTTGATAGAGGCGTTAAACATATTACCATTTCACCATTTTTTTCCACTTAGTTACTGGGGCCATCGTATGAAGACATTCTGACATCATGGGGAAAAAACACATTCTGAAGTGGTACACGAACATTACACGATCATAAATAATAATATATAGCATTTGTATAGAGCATATCCCCGCTCAACAACGGGCTCTATGTGCTTTACACTATATTATTACCCCAGCAGATCACAGAATACTCCGAAACATTCTCAGCTTCACGGAAAGCATACAGTGCAAGCAGCTGGTTAAGCGCTCAAACCCTAACAAACTGACAAGATCTTTCACTGTCTATAGCCGAGTACCCATTCCCACCTGGGTGAAGTGAGGAAAATTTGTGCAAAGTGCCTTTCCCAAGGACACAGCGTCGGGCCCCTGACGGCATTCGAACCCACGACCTTACGGTTGCGAGTCCGAGAGCCTAACTACTAGGCCATCTGCACTCACAGGCTGAATAAGACAATTGTACAGGGACAAGCACAAGGAGGGGGATACAAAGGAAGACAGGACACGACCCAGAGACAACGTCAAAAGAGGTTTCTCAAGAATATTACGAAGTTCCTCCTTATTATTTGGACACATTATCTCTCTTGGGTATTGCGGGCACAATCGAACCACCCCTCCCCAAACTGCCCCCTTACCTCATCCCCCCCCTCCCCCACCTCATCCCTCCTTCCCCTCAGAGTTGCAAGCTTACTTACTTATATAAATTGTGTCGATAGAAATGTTTTTAAAATGTAAAATGTATTTGAACTTGTCCAAACTGACCATAACTCGTCGAGGCAAAAACTTTCTTTCACTTTTTTTCTTTTTTTTGTGTAAATGTGTTACGGCGCATCAAGTCATACGAGTGCACAGGGACACATTAACACATTAAACATTTTTAGTTGTTAGGAAATTTTGAACTTTGCCCTCTGTTGCGGCCGAAGCCTACTCTTATCAATTTAGACCACCAAGGGATCTTTAACGTGCGCAACTTGCACACGGGGCCTCTGAGATTTCGCGCCCTTGTTCGAGAAGGCAAGGTGTAGACCTTTCCTCCAAGAAGATCAGGGGTGTGGCTGAAAGACAGCAGTAAGAAGGAGCCAAGGAGTAGCAGTGGTAATACTGCAAAAAGTGAAAGAGTCATGAACCCAGAGGAGGGGGTAAAGGAAGTGAGGGGGTGGGGGCAGAAGGTGGAGATAAAAGCAGACGACAGAAGATTGCTAGAGAGCAGGAAAGTAGATTAAAGAAGACAATTTTAGAGAAGAAAATGTTTCGATCACTACCAGTTTTCGAACCCGCGACCTTTGAATTAGAGGCGAACACATTAATCTTTATGCCACGAGAGACCCTGAGGCTAAAACATGGTCGTCTAAGACAAGTGGCCCTCTAGGACAGTGCCATTATAACATAATGGAAAACATTGAGGGAAGTTAGAAATGGTCTTTAGTGCAGGTAATTGTCTGGGGCAGGTGGCCTTTAGACCAGGGTTGACTGTATACAATGGATAAAACCAGAACTGTCTGAGCTTGAAGCGATAGATAAATCAAACGCAACTTCCAAATATTCAGCTCATGATAAAAAAGTCAACCTACTACGTTCCTGTCTTAAATTCATAAAATATAATCTATTTAGGTTATTTTTCCTATTTGTTTTCGTCTGACCGTCATGCCTTATAGCCCCCCCCCCCTC